AGTTAAGCCATCTCAAGTCTTGTCACGTCAGTCACGCTAAATCACGCCTAGTCACGCCAAGACACGTCACGTCACGTCACATCGCACCACCTCACCTCACCTAACCAAATTTAACAGCAGGGAATGGTACCCGTCAGTTACTGATTGATGCGGACAAGTCCACTGCGCAAACCTAACCTAACCTAACCTAACATAACATAACCTAACCTAACCTAGTCTCGCCTCGCCAGGCCTCGACCCGTCTAGCCTCGACCCGTCTAGCCTCGACTCCCGTCAAGTCACGTCAAGTCACAGCGAATCACGCCAAGTCACGTCTAGTCACGTCATATCACGTCAGTAACGCCAAGTCACGTCATGTCACGTCTAGTCACGTCAAGTCACGCAAAGTCGCATCAAGTCACGCCAAGTCATGTCACGTCAAGTTAAGCCATCTCAAGTCTAGTCACGTCAGTCACGCTAAATCACGCCTAGTCACGCCAAGACACGTCACGTCACATCGCACCACCTCACCTAACCAAATTTAACAGCAGGGAATGGTACCCGTCAGTTACTGATTGATGCGGACAAGGCTACTACGCAAACCTAATCTAACATAACCCAACCTAACCTAACCTAACCTAACCTAACCTAACCTAACCCAATCTAACCTAACCTAACCTAGCCTAGCTTAGCCTAGCCTAGCTTAGCCTAGCCTAAAGTACCCTCGCCTCGCCTAGACTCGTCTGGCCTCGCCTCTTTTCAAGTTAACCCAAGTGACGTCAATCCACCTCGAATCACGTCGAGTCACGCCAAGTCACGCAATGGCACATCGAGTCACGTCGAGGCACGTCAGTCACGCCAAGTCACACCAAGTCACGCAAAGTCACGTCACGTCACCTAACCTAACAACAGGGAATGGTATCCCTCAGTTACTGACTGATGCGAACAAGTCTACTGCCCAAACCTAACCTAACATAACCTAACCTAATCTAACCTAACCTAACCTAATCTAACCTAACCTAACATAACCTAGCTTCGCCTCGCCTCGCCTCGACCCGTCTAGCGTCGCCTCACGTCAAGTCACGTCAAGTCACAGCGAATCACGCCAAGTTACGTCGAGTCACGCCAAATCACGTCTAGTCACGTGATATCACGTCAGTCACGCCAAGTCACGTCATGTCACGTCTAGTCACGTGAAGTCACTCCAGTCACGCAAAGTCGCATCAAGTCACGCAAAGTCACGTCAAGTCAGGTTAAGTCACGTCAAGTCAAGCCATGTCAAGTCTAGTCACGTCAATCACGCCAAGTCATGTCAGGTCACGCCAAGTCACGTCACGTCACATCACATCGCACCACCTCTCCTCACCTAACCTAACTTAACAGCAGGGAATGGTACCCGTCAGTTACTGATTGATTCGGATAAGTCTACTGCGCAAACCTAACCTAACATAACCTAGCCTAGCCTCGACTCCCGTCAAGTCACAGCAAATCACGCCAAGTCACGTCTAGTCACGCCAAGTCACGTCATATCACGTCAGTCACGCCAAGTCACGTCAAGTCACGTCATGTCACGTCTAGTCACGCCAGTCACGCAAAGTCGCAACAAGTCACGCCAAGTCATGTCAAGCCAGGTTAAGTCACGTCAAGTCAAGCCATGTCAAGTCTAGTCACGTCAAGTCACATCAGTGACGCCAAGTCATGTCAAGTCACGCCAAGTCACGCCAAGACACGTCACGTCACATCGCACCACCTCACCTCACCTAACCAAACTTAACAGCAGGGAATGGTTCCCGTCAGTTACTGATTGATGCGGACAAGTCTACTGCGCAAACCTAACCTAACCAAACCTAACCTAACCAAACCTAACCTAACCTAACGTAACCTAACCTAACCCAACCTAACCTAGCCTCGCCTCGCCTCGACTCGACCCGTCTAGCCTCAACTCCCGCCAAGTCACGTCAAGTCACAGCGAATCACGCCAAGTCACATCGAGTCACGCCAAGCCACGTCTAGTCACGTCAGGCCAAGTCACGTCATGTCAGGTCAAGTCACGCCAAGTCATGTCAAATCACGCCATGTCACGCCTAGTCACGCCAAGACACGTCAAGTCACGGCAAGTCGCGTCAAGTCACGCCAAGTCACGTCATGTCACGTCAAGTCACGCCTAGTCACGCCAAGACACGTCATGTCACCTCACACCACCTCACCTCCCCTAACCTAACTTAACAGCAGGGAATGGTGCTCCTCAGTTACTGATTGATGCGGACAAGTCCACTGCGCAAACTTAACCTAACATAACCTAACCTAACTTAACCTAGCCTAGCCTAGCCTAGCCTACCCTACCCTACCCTACCCTCGCCTCGCCTAGACCCGTCTCGCCTCACTTTAAGTCACGTCAAGTTACGTCGAGTCACGCCATAGCACGTCAAGTCACATCAGTCACGCCAAGTCATGTCAAGTCACGTAAAGTCACGCCAAGTGAAGCCAATTTACGCCTAGTCACGCCAAGTCACGTCACATCACGTCACCTCACCCAACCTAACTTAACAGCAGGGAATGGCACCCCTCAGTTACTGATTGTCGCGGACAACTCTACTGCGCAAACCTAACATAACTTAACTTAACCTAACCTAACATAACCTAACCTAACCTAGCCTAGCCTAGCCCCGCCTCGCCCCGCCTCGCCCCGCCTCGCCTCGCCTAGACTCGCCTAGCTTCGCCTCCCGTCAAGGCACGCCAAGTCACGTCAGTCACGCCAAGGCACAACAAGTCATGTCAAGTCACGCCAAGTCACACCTAGTCACGCCAAGTCACGTCACGTCACCTAACCCAACCTCACCTCACCTCACCTAACCTAACTTAACAGCAGGGAATGGTACCCCTCAGTTACTGATTGATGCGGTCAAGTCTACTGCCCAAACCTAACCTAACCTAACATAACCTAACCTAACTTAACCTAACCTAACCAAACCTAACCTAACGCGAACTTTTACCTATTGTAAGAAATTAATTGTCGAATTTTATTCGTTTCTTTTTATCTCTGTTACCTTTTTTCATATGCTTGTATTTTATTCTCAGCTACTGTACTGATTAAACAACATGATGCTTGTTCATTCTTTATTACATACTGTGATTTTTTATATACAGTAATATTGTATTCTAAGAAATTAAACGTAAATTATTTATTCACAGTTGTTGTTATATCATAGTATTATTATTGATTTGTTTTTATTTTTCTCGCATCTACGCAGTTTCTTTGATATGCTTGCCGCATGTTCTGTGTACATGCTTTTCCCTAAAATTTCAGGGATTAGCAAAGGTTTCCCAG